TAAATCAGTTTAGTATTCAATTAAACGATAGGTAATCCAAACTAATGATAACTCCTTTTATTAATGTTTTGCATATGCAGAATCTATAGGTGTACTTATAATTTTACTTTTATTTTGTACCGTTACTTTTCAGATAAATTAGCGTTTAAAAGTTTAACAAAAAAAAAAAATACATTACTATTTTTTACAATGCTAGATTAAAATTCTCAATGTTAGAAACGATCAAAATGTATAAATTCTTATTAATTAGCGAAAAATTCAGCAACCTAACATCCAGTGTTAATGTTCAAGTATGTACTGCTTGCAAAAGATATGCAAAATATGTTTATTTTTTTAATTAATTTAAAATCTTCGTTGCTTCATTGGAGTAGAAGATCGTTAGTTAGTTTCTTTTTTATTTCATAAACGAAATGTTTTGTGAAAGTAATTTCACTAATTACAACGTTACATAAAAGTAGATCATTTTATTCAAACACAGGTTGAGACATAGAATACAATCGTAATAAGTATCACAGGTGCGATATGTTTAGTAACCGTAATTACCATACGCATTGTTGTAATGCAGTGAAAGAGGTATGTGCTCGTTTGTCACCGGTGCTTCGAACAATATGGTGTCTCACTTTGTTGAACACCATTTCCTGTGGTACATTCGGTCGATGTGACAATAATAGTAAGAACTTGCGGTAAAAAATTCACCGCTGTATTCGCTGTCGTTATTTTCTCCTCGTTTTTATTTTGTTACTAACAAATTACGAAAAATAAAAGTTTGAAGAAAATCTAACTCGAGATTTCTATATGTATATTGACACAGTGAACTGAAGAGAACTTGCATCTCATTGCAAAAAAATTGTTTTTAATTGAAATTTTGGATGGTACTGTAAATTTCGATAATAATTTGGTTGTACAGCTTTTTATGATATTATTAACGATTATTTTATCTCACATTTGTAATAAGTTGCTTTCAAAAAATTTAGATAATAATTTAACAGAAACTTTGAAGTAATACAGTGCAATATTCGAGAAATATCAATTTTCATTGCTTTTATCAATAAACGTGTCTTTTAATTTCTAATTAAAGAGAGAAGAAATGGTTTTTTTCAATGAAAAAATGATTAATACATCACGTTGAAGAAATACCTTTAGTGAAATGGACATTATTCGTGAAATTTTCATTGTACATCCTCATCACCTTTTAAAATCTCAAATTCTATATTGATCCGTGTACTTACCGATCTTCTTGAACAGATGTCGAGCATTTTATAACGACCGATGATATTACATTGTTCACCACTTCGGGCAAAATGCGGAAAATCAAGTCATTCATCGTTAGATCACACGGGATAGATGTATAAAATTACAGAATTCGATCGTTTCACAAGTATTCAAGGAACAGTGATCAAACACCATAATCTACTGCGCCGCGAGTTTGTTTTCGTTTCGAAGGTGGATTTTGTTTTGCTTGCTACTGTCGTACAACGTATATCTTCGACTTGAAAACGGTTATTATGTTTATAAAAGTAAATGTTCGTTATAATTTTAGAATGTCAAAAAATTTCGTTCTATTTATCTCGTCTCGAAAACAACGATGCAAATAGGATTCGTCAATTACCGACCTTGCTCCTCTTATTAATTCTCTTTTATTTAAAATTACACTTCATGGGAATGAAATTTTACTACAATATTATTGTAATGCAAGTACATCAGTTTATTATATATTTATATCGCGTATTTACAATAAACGAGCGATATTTTTTTTTTAATTTTTTGTTTTATTATAATTTTATTTATAGTTCCTATAAACGATATATTTTTCTATTCTCATTTTTATTAAGAATAAATTTCTTGCAAACACGCGATTTTGTTATTTAATTAAGGAACACGTATGCGACAACATGTTTTATCTTGAACGTGATTAAATGGCATAGTGACTATATTTTAATAACAAGAACGGATGGAAACGTTTTTATTAAAAAATTATTTGTTACTCTCGTAGAAATTTGCCGCTACGAAGGGTGGCGGCACTCAACTATTGTAGTGAGAATTGCACGTAAGATTGAACGTATAATCTTACGTATAAATATGTAAGACTGAACTGTAGTAACAATTGTGACATTAACAATTCGACAGTTAAAATTTTATATGATTACTTGCATCAGCGTTATACTGCTTTTCAAATAAACGCTGATTTTCATAATTTCATATTCAACTTAGGTTTATTCTATTTAATATTCTAATTAATATTCGACGCTTTAATGTAGTGGCATGTCGTGAAAGTCAGATACGTGTTCGTAAACACATCTTTAATGTGTCTAAATTGTCATGTCTTCAACTATGATTTCATGGTGAAAAATTTTTCAACCGGAAGAAAGTAAATGATGGTAACGTTCATAAACGATAAATCTCTCCACTACTTACGTGCAATAATACTGTCTCCGTTTTGTTGTAATTTTAGAAATCTTATCAGGTTACCAGCTTACCATGCGATTACGTTTGGAAAAACGGCTAAAAACTGAACTATCAGTTATTCGACGAGATAGTACTCTTTTTAACTATCGTTTGTTAAAATCGAGAAAAAAATCATTCGAGACAGTAATTTGTCGTGTAAAATTTTTACAAAGCACCAATAAGTAATTATGTTAAAAGTGTTGCAGAGAAGTCATAATGTATTCTTTCAATTTATTTAGCGTTATTATTTTATTTGGTAAATTTGCAATATTCAAAATCTGCAAATATGCCAATATTTGAAACGTTACATTTCCAGTATATTGTAAATTAATTGCACATGTACATCTAAATGATGACATTACTTAAAAAGAAGTAAAGTTTTATTCTTCCAATTTTTCACTTAGTCGGTAAATTTTATCGTTACTTATCAGTTTTTGATAGAAATCAATATTTCGAATGAATATTTAGAAATCAATGTAAAGTTGAGAGAAAGCAATATTCAAAATCTGCATATCACAGGAAAATAAATATAATATTTTAAATGTTACATTTCCAATGTATTGTAAGTTAAAATTGCAGAAGTAAAGTAGTATGTTATGATATGAATTTTCTGTTACCGGTAATTTTTTTATTCACATTAATCTTCCACTACAAGTTTTCCAACGTTAGATTTTACACGTACTCCTAATTATGGCTCATAATTACAGGTGCGGGTATGTACACCTCCATTGTAGGAAACTACTTCTTTCTTAATTTACGATTGTGTATTTTTATACAAATAAGATAACGTACACTATATTTGTAGTTATAAAAAGAAGTCACGTATAAAACAATGTATATGTAATGTTTTGATTATTATCGTTATTGAGAAGAAAATTTTACGGATAAAGTTATACGCTTGAATTGTCAATTCGATAAAATTATGTAACATTTTGATTGTTATCATATATTCAGGAAGTGGTGTGCGTATAAAATGTAAACTGATAAACGTCTTAAACGTAACATCTTTGTTATTATTGTGTATATTATGTCTCTGCAAGGGACATGTGTATCTACGTGAAATACAGTTTTCATTTACCATATCTTCATCTTTATCCTTATCGAATAATTCATATAATTCGGTTGCGAAAATAATGACACAATTCAAAATCTGTCAAGTTTGAAATTTCTTGTAAATGTATAGTTTGTGACCTTTAGCTGGTAAACATGCGCAACAGTTCGGGTTTGTAAGTGTTACGGTAACACAAAAATTTCGAAGAATCATCTTTATAAACCTTATTCCTTATCGTCTCTGTTTGATTATTTTCAGCCGCGTCATATTTATTTTAATCTTACGGTACAGGAAATGTGACGTTCGAAAAACTTATTCATACAAAAACGGGACGGTGTGTTTTGATTTTGCAAAGTCTCGAAATTTTCAGATGCACCTATGCGCGATATTGTTCGAAAATAATCTTTCATATTTCATTATTTACTCGTAGAGTAGAGGCGATTAAATCAGTAATATTGATAAGTAATCAAGTACAATACTAACGATGTATAACTAAAGAAGACCTAAAAAGATAATTCAAATGTGTGAACTCAGAGATAAATTGTACGTTTTAATATAATTTTACAATATTGTAATTAAATATGATATTGGGGAATCTAACTAACACTAGGAAAGCGAAAGAAAACAATCGATAAGCAATTAATAATAGAGAAACAGCGCTACAAAGCATAAGTGAGTAATATTGTTCAAAAATTCGTATACAATATTACACAAATTTAAAAGGACAAAATTTTCTAATTGTAAAAAACGTATTATGCTGTTTACACCATTAAAATGATTTCTTGTTACAACAAGCAAATCGTCTATAAACCTTGCACATTCCGAATATTAAGAGTCAATCACATTATAACTGTTAATAATTGCAAAGATCATAGAAATGAAAAATTTGCAAATTCGATTACTATCGTCTTAACTGTTCCACTTGTTTTAGCCTATTGTCGTATGATATTCAAACTTATTAATTAGCAAATCGTTTCACAAATTGTCTACAAACCTTGCATATTCCGAATACTAAGAGTGAATCATATTATAATTATTAATAACTTCAGAGATAAGAAGATCGTTTAAAAATGAAAAGTTTGCAAATTCGATTACCAATCTCTCAACTGTTCAAATTATTCCAGCCTACTATCATACGATATTTGAACTTATTAACTACTAGATGGACCGGCCGGGTCAAATCGACCCATCAGCAATTTTCCAAAGAAAGTGTGAATGTTTGATACCGATACACATATTTACCGTTTGCAACTTTCTGACTTCGTTTTCTGCATGTTTACATCTATCTGTATCGACGTGAGACAGATTCTTTCAATCACGTTTCAAGTTACGTACAAATTCACTTTTGGGATGTTGTTACCAATGGGTCACTTTTGACCCGAATGGTCCCTTTAGTGTTAATTAGCAGATCGTTTTACACGCGTCAACAAACACTTTGCGCACAAACAACGGAGAACGAAAAGAATTACACAAAAATGGAAAGAAACAACACAGAAACACTTACTTTCTAAGCCACTTGAACATTCCCATCATGCCCATCGCGCACGTGGCGCATCGGCCGACCACTCGTAGATAAGCGTCGGTAAGCTGACAGGTGAACTTCGCGATGCGAACCAACACTGAGAACGCGGGTTTGCTGCGCGACGCGCGCGGATCGAGCCGATTCGCTTCCTTTACGCGACTGATCGTCTGATGAGCGCTCGTGTCGCCACGACACTTCTTTCTGACACTTCTGACAACGCGACTGACCGGCCGTCTACCGTTCGCTCTGAATCCTAGCCGAGGAACGATCGCTTGCCGATCCCCACTACCTATATCCTGGACGAATCTTCCGTATCCTTGCGAACTCCTCTTCCTTCGACTTAACCAAGGGCAACTGGGTCAATTTGTACCAAAGCTATCAAATTTTTGCATTTCGATTTCGCGGTTATTTTCTTCGGTGAATTTTTGAAATTTCCCGCGTAGCAGACTGAAAGATCCTTTCGGGTGAATTAGTGGTAGAACGAAGGAGAGGCTTCGGAACTTGGAATATTTTGAGATTGGATAAAAATGAAAATTCCGTGCTGCTACGAAGCAATATGGCGATTCTTTTCTTTTTTTTGAGTGGAGCTTTGATATTTTTTCGGTTGCAGAATTATAGAACGCTTTCAGGAAAATTATCCGGTTTCGATAAAGCTTAACCTTTTCGCTGCGGCAGATTATCGGCAAAATCTTTCGTTTTGGCGTGTGAAAATTTAAAAAAATTTTAAATGTATCATTTTTAAATTCCAATTATTGAATTAAAGTGAGAGTACTCGAAGTATTGAATTTTAAGCAAAATTTAAGGATTGAATTAAGGCGAACAGCACAGTGGGAGAAAATTTTCAAAGCGCCAATAGTTTAATTTAAGTTAATAATTTAATTTTGATTTCCGATCAATAAAAAAAGAAAATGAATGATCTACAATTAGAGACGTCAATCTATGAAAATATAAATAGTGACGAAGAAAGTAAAGACTTTATATCACTTTATATTGCCGATTTCTGGGGATAGTCGTGCAATAATGTGCGGGTAATTATGAAAGTGCCTAAATCATATATTTTTCGTTTCGAGATATTTAGAATTTTCCTTTTGGATGCTTTAAACAATATTCTTTCATTATGTAATAAAATATTTCACAAAATACTTGCTCTTATAGTATAACTCTTTTCTATGAAAAGATCGATCCAACACAAAATAAGTGATAAATTCAATTTTGTCAGATCTTTGACTTAGACCACTTTCACAAACACCAGCACACACATATGTCGGTCTCGAATGTGTTAATATAACCAGTTAATATAGCATCGATTAGGTTGCTAATCGAGTGTGTTAATGAGTTAATCGAAAATGTTAATACTACAAATTCACGTTTGGTTTTGCAAATAAATTATTGATACTGTTTGAACACGTCGGCTGCTCGTTAAATTATGCTACCATTGTTGAAAGTGGTAACGAGTTTGGTATATCAAGCGGATGAAACTTCTTACAGAAGAAAGTTTCTCGTGTTTGATTTAACATCACAATGATAAACTTACCTACACCAATCAGCTGTATCCATCATTCCAAGAATGCTTTCGTTTTATTTAAAAATTTAAAGCTGTTTCTTGTTCGTTATATGGTAAATTGCAATTTTAATACTTCGTCTATCACATGTTTTGCGTCACAATTAAATTTATCCAATTATTTTGCATTGGTTGTCATAAATATTAAATAAAGTATTCAATTATCGAACGTCTTCTGGTTTAAAATTTTCGCGTTTATTATTATTGTTATTACTTATTAATAATTTTTGTGTCCCGACTAGAAAATGGGGTTTGGCTTACAAAAATTTTCACGTTTATTATTACGCACATTGGAATCGAACTGTTACGTTAATAGTTTGCGCAGACAGTATGCAACATCGCGTCAATCAAGTCAACTTCTGAAGCAGGATTCAATGTCAAACGCTGACGTAGCTATCCTGCGTTCGAGTTTGGCAACAACTGTCGACATTACATCGAATAGGTGTGATTTTAGCTATCAGTAACATCTGATTAAAGTTTACTCACTTTTATGTAAAGTATTTGAAATTTTTCCATTTTAAAGGTTTCGTCTAATAAATGAAATAACAACATTATCCTGATATCGTCACGTTATTATAAATTATTTAGCCAAACGGCTAAATATTTCATTTCCTTCCTTTAATCGTTCGGAAATAATTTTATAAATTTGCTGGTAATTATGAAAGTGGTCAAGTCAAAAATTTAAAAAAATTAAATTTATCACTTATTTTGTGTTGTGTCGATTTTTTTTAATAGAAAAGAGTTATATTATAAGAGCAAGTATTTTGTGAAATATTTTATTACATAAGGAAAATAAGAATATTTTGAATATTTTAATAGAGAATTTAAATTTTATCGAGAATTTTTCTAAGAAAAATTCACAATCACCGGCATAAATAAGTATACGTAATTTATTTATAAACTATACTTCGAAGTTCTTCTCAATAACCAACATTTCTATACTTTTGCAAGGAAAATTCTGAGAGAGTAGTGCTTTATTGTTAGAAGAATTCGCGTTATATTAACCCTTCCGTGACCAGTGGGACGCATACGTCCCGCTTGAATACTGGAATAAAACTTCATCTCAATTTAGCATCCATTATATACGCAACGATCGACAGATAAATAAGAAATTCCTAAAAAAAAAAAAATTCAAGTCGGTGAATTTTTGTTCACTTCTATCGCACTTCTTAAGAAAACCAGAATTAACTAAAATTCGTTAGAAAACATTGCTGAAAAGTACTCTACGTTAAAATTCAAATTGTCGAATCAATTGTAAACGATCAAATGATCACTAATGAAAGAGATTCTAATTGATGAATCAAACTCTGGGAAAAAAATACTTGTAGTATTATTTTAAGAATGAAATATATGCTTGAAGGCATTTTAATAGTTAACATGATAAGTTGAAACTTTGAATCAAGCCGCTTAAACTCGTTTGGGAATTGCATTCCTAGACGATGCTCGTTGTTCTGGAACTAGGAAGCATTTTTGCGGAATTGTTCGCGATGAAGCTCGTTTGATGTCAGCACGTAGGGACGAGTAATGACATGCTTCTTTTTGCCAGCTCAATTCATGAGTTCAGCAGACGGCAATCAGTGTGATGAGTGATAACAAACAACAATTACTATGTGCAGCCTGCGGCAAAAGGAGAGAACTAAAAGACGAATTGGGCCATTGGCGGTGCACGTGGGAGGAATGACACATTGTAATATGAGAATGAAAGTGCAGCTTTATTACTGTTGCACTTGTTCATATAAGTGGATGTATTTAGGATTCATAACTATTTCAACTAGGAATTTTGTAATATTAGATTTATAATAATTAAGAAGTGTATTTTGTATAAAAAGTATAGTTTTTCAGTTAATTTACTTGACTTTTACTATTTTGCAGAAGCTATCAGCAATAAGAATGTTTATAACTAAGATGAGAATTTTTTATTTTGAAGAATAAGAGTTAATTAACATTTACTCTGTAAAAGTAAAAAGTAAAACAAATTTAAGGAATGTATTTGTCATTTATTATTGTAGTTTGAGTGATAATAATGTTGGTTTTGTAAAATTAGAATTCATTACTGAATTAGGAATAACCATCTGTTAAAGCAAAGTTCTGTGTTTATCTTTTCCTGTTATTAGTTGAAATGAAAAATAGCTAGCTATAAAAAAGGGTAGTGATAGTGATTCTAATAACAAATACATATATCAGATGTGGCTAACTAATTTAATATTGCATTACTGTTTAACCAGAAATGCAAAAAACAAAGTTGATCACAAGAAAAAATTAAATTAAAGTTTAGAAACACTTTATAGTCATATATCAGATACGTGAAATTTGTGGTGTCGTAAAAGCTTTAATTTAAAGAAAAATACATTGTATATAACATTTGTTCTTACATTATTAATAAAATAAGTGATTTCATTTAATACTTAACAAATTGGTAAGATCGTTGGCATGAATACTGACATCTATCTGCCAGGACTAGTTCATTGTTGCTTATTCAAACTGCAGCATAATAATCACACAAATGTAAAGTATAATAAAACAAATACAGATTAAATAGGGGTAGAAATTCTGAATTGTACATTTTAGGCAATAGTAAATGAATATTTCAAAGATATTAACCTTTAGGCTACTAACAGCGACTATTATAAAATTTCATCAACGCTAATCGTGCTCGCTTATTTAATGTGGTATTATTAAAAAAATATTGTTAAATATTGTATGTTGTTAAAATTAAGCTTTAAAGTCATTTTATTTTATTATTTCTAGTAGAAGTGACATAGTTTTAATAGTGAATATCTTATTGGGAATAGTAAAATAGGACTAGAAGCACAAAGAAAACTGAAGTTCAAATGGCACTTTGTATTCTCTATTTAGATTCTTCTTATGGCTATTTAACGTGATTTCATCTCTTGCTTAACACAGGAAGTAAATGCTTGTAAATGCTTGAGACGTTGTTGAGACTTCAACATATGAAACAAAAAAAACATACAATTAGTGTTTAATTACTATAAATATAATAGTTATTACAGGAATAGAAGTCTATTATATAGTAAATCTTTGGAATGTAATGAAAAGTTTAATGAAATGTTAAAGAAAATAAATTTGTATCTTGT